TAAAAGATCCAGGCCGTCAATTTCCCTGAACCAAACGTGTGAACATACAAAATATTATTAAAAAAAATAAATAATTACACAACCTTTCGATCTGAATCATATAGGGACCAAGAGTGAGAGAGACCTTCAACAATATTTTCAGTCGGACAAGAAAAATGAGTTTTTCTTCAAGACCCGTTTCAAGTCCGGGTCGAACCGAAAACCCGCCTCTACTTATGCGGTTTTTACGAACCACGGCCGGAAGCAGAAGCAGACATCGCTCCCGTTCTCGTCCCCGTTCAAAAAAACCTATATTTTTCCGGCGAAAAAACGCGACGGAGACGCAAGAACCGTCTTCGCCTAAAGTCACATGCATGGGTCAAGTAAGGATAACCCGCTCCAAGAAACCCAAACCGGGAACTAACCGTGTCAACGGAGGTCACTTGCGTGGTGGTGCAAATGAAAGTCGCCGGCGTAGACGGTGTGGATGGGTCAAGAACGCGTTTTCTTGCCACCCTTTCTCCGGGAGACTAAAACCGACATGTTTTACCCCTGCTTGGAGAAAATGGAAGTCGTTTACTAATGTTAGTTTCTCGAGGAAGTCAGAGAAGAGGTCAAGCTCCTCGAGGAGTGAACCTATCTTCAGCCGCTCAACGGTGGAGCCTGAAGAAGCTGAGGAGGTTCGAAAGAAAGAACGTAAACAAGAAGAAGAAGATGAAGATTTGCCAGCTACTCCGCCAAGAAACGCTTTCTTACTTACTCGATGCAGATCTGCACCGTATAGATCTCCTTCATTGGGTGATAACTTCTTGGAAGAAGAGACAAAGGAATCTCACTTCCAACGACATGGTAATGACGTCATTGCATCGCCGGAAAATGTGTCGGTTTCGAGTGAGGTGAGTGAGGGAGTGAAACGGTGTGTTTTGGGATCACCACGACGACAGTGTATGGTACTCACGCGCTGTAAGTCGGAGCCTGCGAGGTTAGGAGAGAAACTAGTACCCGAGAACCGAAGGTTGGGATACACGTAATAATGGGTTTTACATTTTTTTTTTAATTTCTTGTATTTTCTTGAGAAAATTAAATTGATATAATGAATACTATATTCTTTGTTGAATTTTTTTACTTTGGAAAGTTTTGCTGAAATTTAGGGCATTAAAAGTTTTCTTTACCCAAGAGAATCTTGTGGTTTCCTGGCGATGTAATACTATTTTTCTAGTGTCCTATCTATGACATGTAATTAAACAAATAATTTCGTTCGTACAATTATATACTTTTATATAGAATTATTTTTGTGTTTTGATTATAGTTTGGTATTTTTTAAAATCCTAGATGTTGACAAAAAAGAAAAAGAATCCTAGATCTCTAAGAGCATCTTCTTATTTTTCCATACATGATGTAATACTTGGGAAATAAAAAATGGAGTAAACCTCCAGAGACATGGCCACAAAGCTGGAAAAGATTACAAGACAAACATAAGAAAACCAAACCAAAAACAAAAAACAAACTGATCTACTTCAGACCGAATAAACAATAACAAAAATTGTATAACTCACACACACACACACAAAAAGTCTAAAACAATAAAGACGAGACAGAAGCAATCCTTGCATATATCCAGAGTCTTCTAGACATAGTGAGCTACAATATATAAATTAATCCACTCAAACCAATAAAGGAATATGTAACAACTCAACGAGCCATCAAAAAGCGGAGACATAAAATGCAGGCGGACAGTGATATACTAGCTCAGGATTATCACAAGTTTCGTAGGAACTCAAACCAAAGCTTGATTGATTTGAAGCAAGGGTGACCAAAAGTTTGAGATACCCAAACCAAATGAGCCCAGTGATTTTTGGAATGATGTGAGATGAAGAATGGATCAATGTGTACCATACAGATTGTGTATGACTTATAGTACACACAAGTTTCTTAAGCTAGTAAGGTACAAGTCTCAAACTAAGTAAAGAGAGGAGACTTTTCATTTCATTGTGAATAAAAAAGTACTTAAGGGGGAGGGGAATTTAAACCCTGATTTTGGTCTTGAGCTACATTTGGATAATCGAAACTTACACTTGTGTTTAAATCATTCCAAACTTTTGTGTCCATCATATACTTTTTGCTTTGTTATTCCAGAAGATGACTTTAGTGACACAAATTGTTTGAACCACATGACAAAACCTAGTTGCTTATAGAAATAGTGAATGGAAATGTCAACACAAAAAGTGTTCACTTTCATGAACATTAGACTAGCCCTGTCCAAGAGAAAACTATTTCTGTCAATTCGTTTGTCCTCTTCATACCATGGAGACTAATCAGTATCATATGAAACTTCTAAGTCGAAGTGTTGTAGTACTGGTAACATTTTATTTGAAAATGTTTGATGATAGTTGAAAAAGAGAGGCAATAACAATTGTATTCACTGATTTTTTCCCCCGAGTACACAAACATTCACATATCCCACAATGAAGCCAGAAATTAGGAAATACGAAAAGAAGAAAACAGAGCATAGATTTTAAAACCAAAGTTGCCAATTTTGTACATACATAACAGCAATCATTTTGTAATTGCTATTTTGTTTTGTGTGGCTAAATTCAAACGTTGGCCGCACTTCGGAAAGACCCAAGGGACTTGGAACCAGAGGCCCTTAAGACGAATTGGTGATAAAATGCAGCAATTGCAGCTCCAATGAATGGTCCCACCCAGAATATCCACTGTAATTATATGAGACCAAAAATATGCAGTTATATTTTTTCCCACTAAAAAATATAACTATAGTTTGATTAGTTTTTCTAATAAGAGAGATAGAAGAAACATACATGGTCATCCCACGGCTTAGACTCGTTGTAGATAACCGCAGCTCCGAAACTCCTGGCCGGGTTAATACCGGTTCCAGTGATTGGAATAGTGGCCAAGTGAACCATAAACACCGCAAACCCAATCGGAAGTGGAGCCAACACCTTTTATTTCATCATTCATAACCACAAATTAATTAGTTATATATCATGTTAATTAACAATCTTATATAATCGGCATTAGTTGACGATAAATACTAACCGGAACGTGAGAGTCTCTTGCGTTTCTTTTGGGATCTGTAGCTGAGAAAACAGTGTAGACAAGAACGAATGTTCCTATGATCTCTGCAGCGAGTCCTGTCCCTGTGCTGTATCCATCAGCTAGAGAGTTTGCTCCTCCACCGTAACGGACGTAGTAAGCGCTTTGGAAGGCCTTCACGAACCCAACTCCACAAATAGCACCCAGACACTGAGCAACCATGTATAGCACCGCTCTAACCAACGATACCTTCCTTGCCAAGAACAAGCCGAACGTCACCGCAGGGTTGATATGACCACCTTCACAAAGTTTTGGGGTCAATATCAAATAAACAAGAAACCAAAAGAGCACGTTTATTTATAAAAAGATCTGATAACCGTTATGAACCGGACCGGTTCGTTATATTAATACCTGAGATACCGGCGGTGCAGTAGACAAGGATGAATATCATACCGCCGAAAGCCCATGAGATGCCAAGGATTCCGACACCTCCACACTCGTCACCTCCGGCCTTAGTGTCGGAGGAAATCTTGTAGCCGATGACAGTCAAAACAGTGACATACAAGAAGAGGAGAGTGGCTACGAACTCGGCTATGACGGCTCTGTACAAAGACCACTTGGTCAGCTCCTCCGCGTCGAAAAACGGAGTTGGCGGCGGGTCTTCGTAGTCCCTCGTCGCGAATCCCTCTGCTCCTTCCACCTCTTTCGCCATTTAATATTTTAATACCAAGAATATGTGTGTTTTTGGTTATTATTCCTGTTTTGTGATTGTGGAGGGATGAAGATAGCTTTGTTTATATAGAGTGAGTTCTTAGTGAATGCTCTTGTCAATATTGCATAACATGTTAATAATTGTTATCTGTAAGTATTATATTACAAATAATGTTTTCCTTGGTAGGTTTATGGTTATCCTATGTATTATTCGTTTCACTAAAATGATTATTTTTGTGGAAACTAGCTTCCACTAATTAATTACCTAGCAAGCTGTCATGATATAACCAATCCTAATCATTGCTTCATAATTAACAATACAGAATTGCGTAATATATTCCACTTTGTTTTCTTTCTTTAAATCAGTTTTTTTGTGTGCGTTTGTTAGCATAGTACTGATTTGCATAATAGATTTGTGTAAATAGTTCTATAAATTTTAACTGTAGATGTCATATTTTCATAGCAAAATTTATTGTACTTAAATATGTTTTGTTAACGAAGTCATAACTCAAGTTTGTTTTTGGTTTCAGTTAATGTTACTAGACCTTAAAACTTAATATGAGTTTATTGAGATTTGGATAATGTAAAAGAATGGTTATGGAGCTATTAAGAACAGCGACCTCTTAATTCTTAAATTTATGGTGGATAATGGAGTTTTATGGTTAAATTAACTTAGCCTTGCCGCCCCACACCTAAACGTAGCTTTCATTTGGACCGACGCTAATATACTATATGCGGCTATATTTTCTTTCCTCTTGTCCATATGTCATGAGCCTTGTCCTCCTCTAGAATAATATAGACTGTCACTCTTTTAAACATAAAATAGTATATAAATCTTATCAGTTTGAAGATAGCTAGATAAATTCTAGTATAAGAGTTCTGATTAAGTTATATTCTACCATCTTTTAATTGGTACTTCAATCTTGTATCTACAAAACTCTATTGAAAAGGTGAAACAGCCACATACAAAGCATAAATATTTGATAAATTATATATATATATATAATTATATATACATATTTAACCTAACCCTACCATTACATTAACAAAATGATTACATGGACAGGATAGAAGGTACGGCGTCGTTTTAATGGCTCTGTTTCCACTAAGGTCGAAATCTAATGGAACTGGGGTAGGTGACGTGGAAGGTGGGGTTCACTGAGCATGAGAAACCGTCCAAAAGCTCCGACAAATACATCGGCACCGTCCGATTAACTCCAACTCAGTCCACCCGTCGGTTTCACTTAACCACTCTTGTCGTGCCACGTAGTGAGACCCACAAGCCGTCAATAATTATCACTCTCTCTCTCTCTCTGTATCCTCAATTCCAATTGCAATTTTGTTACGTCCATGTATTGGCCGTATGACACAAATTTATTTATTGAAAATGAAAATTTAAAACATAAATGTGAGCACAGACAAAAAGAATGTGGCGTTTGTGGTGTTCGTGGCTATGGGTTTTGCCATGTCACAGTTAACCTTATCGTTTTAGCAGCGTCCCTGTGCTCTTATTGGACGGAAAGTAACACTATATATTTGCTGACAATGAAATTCACAATAACAAATAAATACATTGATTTACGCATATGTGAATATACATATAGTGAATGCATCATAGTCATAGTTAATTGATGTAGTGTTCTATGAATATTTTTACACTAGTAGATCGTTTAATGTGTACATTCTGCAGCTTGGTACACAATAAAGTTCCATTCAGTGTCAGTTACAAGTTAATGCGTTATTACACAAAAATGATTCAAGATTAAGTTTCATCTCTTTATAAAAAAATATTCGGTTGCGATATATTACTTACGAGACTAAGCATGAAAAGCTGCAAAAGTAGTCCAGAATGTACTAGAAACGGTAGGAACACGCACGAATATTGTGATAAGATGGGAGACAAATACTTTTTTTCTTGCTTACAGATGATATTATGAATATTTGTCAAAGCCTTTAAAGTAGCTATGCAATTATGAATGTTGTTACAGCTTACAGATCAGTTATGGTTGTATTGTATAATAATATGCATTTTATAATTTGTTGTCGCTATTGTTTCTTTTTTTTTTTTTATAACACTGAGACGTAAAAATATTCGAGACAGTACAAAATGATAGAGAATCATAAGAGAAAAAGGAGATGTCAATAGACATCAAAACAAAAAGGAGAAAGAACTTCACCCAACCGTTAAATGCTGAGCCTCCAGAGCGAGCAGATGGTGTAACCATACGGGAGCATTGCTGGCGATGTAAGACTTGTGGC